CACTGCAATGTCACGCCCATCAAGCTAAAATTAAAATCACAAAGAGAAAATGTCTGGTCCAGGTAAGTGCTTATAACGATCTGTTTCATGGGTCGTTAATCCTTGAATAGGTGGTTATCCTGTTCAAAAGACTCCTGGAAGTGGTAAGTTGCTTGGAAAATGCTACCTCTTCTTACTAAAACACCTTCCACCCAGCTTATCCTCAGCAACAGGGATATCCACAGCAACAACCCTCCGCACATCAACAAGAGCAACCGCCAGCCTATCAGCCTCAAGGCTATCCTCAGCAGCAACCCCAGGGGTATCCACAGCAAAACCCAGCCTATCCTCAACAGATGGGATATCCTCAGCAGCAACATCCACCATTTCAACCACCTGTGAGTTCCATATTTTGCGTGATTGTATACAGTCTTTCAACTTGTTTTTATGAGAATATTGGGTGGTATGTTATTACGAATTGTGTGGCTCGTAGTATCCTGAGTCATGGGATAAGAGGGCCTATATGCTGAGGCGGTATATTAAGCTATTATACAGGAAACGATAATTTTGCCTAAAACAATGTGGTGATGACCCATTTTAAAGTGAGAAAGTGTTAATGTCAAAAGAACTGCATGTTTACAATCAGCTATAGATAGCACAGGCTGCACAGTAGTATAGGTAGCACAATAGAGCTTCTTTAATATGTTTGGTTTTTATACAATGCATATGCCCTTTTGGCTCCATAACTTTTTGGTTTTGAAAGAAAAGCACAAAAAGCTTAATATATGTATACTAAGCAAATGTCTTATGCTTCTTGCAAGATTGCACTGTAGAGACCATCCTTTACTGGCCTGCTTCTGCATAGTCATTGCCAAGGTATGATGAATGCTGTTTCAATGCTACCAAAATTAAGAGGTGTAAATTCACCATTACTTTCCTTTTGGGACACCACTTATATTGATTCAGTTCTTAAGTTTACCTATTCCATTGTCTTTGGTCACGGGAAATGTTTTGAGTCTAATTTTAAGTTTGATTTATATTGCAATAGGTTATCACTTTAAGTGTCTGCAACTCTGCGTGATTTACAATGTAGTCCTGACATTACATTGAGAATGAAGTTGAGTTTGATTCAACTCTAGTGTAAAGCATGTGTCAAAAGGTCAAATGATTGA